CCACTCACCTCAGCCTCCCAAAGGCGCAGGATTACAGGCTGAGCCACTGAGCCCAGCTAGTGAAGCTTTTTTACTGAAGTTTTTGTAAGTTTAGTAATAACTGCCTTCACACCTATAATCCCAGCACTTTGGGAGGTGGAGGCGAGAGGAGTACCTGAGCCCAGAATTTCGAGACCAGCCTAGGCAACATGGCGAGATCTTGTCTTTACAAAAAATTTGAAAAAATAATTAACTGGGCATGGTGGCATGTGCCTGGGAGGCCAAGGCAGAAGGATTGCCTGAGCCCAGCAGGTCAAGGCTGTTGTGGCTGAGTATGCCACTGCATTCCAGCCTGGGCAACAGAATGAGACTCCGACTCAAAAAAAAGTAATAACTGCTTATCTTCTCAAATGTTTTGTAAGTTAACTTCTCGAATTACACAGATTACAAAGGCCAACAGTTTGTCCCCTACTAAAAGTTTGTATGGTTCTACTGCAGATGTCTATTTTGATTCAGTTGTTTGGTATTTTTATCTACCTGCAGGGTAGAAATAGGAATGGTCATGAAGACTAGAATGCGAAGTGTTCCTTTGCTGTTGCTTTTTAATTTTCAATGTGAGTAGTCAGGAGAATCTATTTACAATTTATAACCTTTTGTCAGTGTTGTTTTTGAAGTTTTGGCCTGCATTTTGAGTACCTTTTCCAAACCAAATAACAAGCATTTATATATTGTTCCAGGTTATGTCTGTCTTTATTTCCCTAAGAATAAAGTGTCATCTGGAGTACTTAACTTCTGTTGAGGATTTGACTTTGTCTATTGCCAACACCTCTGATAAGAATCTGTTTTGCACAAGGCCCCAGGGGCAATTTGTACTTTGAAAATCTTGCAGACTAATGCTTAGGAAATGGATCATTGCCATTTTAAAGTGTTTATCAGTTCTCTGTTCCATTCTCTAGATACTCCCAGTGCAGTTCAGGGTTACTCCTCTCAAATGATGTGACTCAAGCATTCTGAGTCCATGAAGTCAATCTCTGCAGAGACTTTACCTCACTTTTTGCTCCTTGCCAAATTGATTTGTAGTTCGTTGGAAAAGTGGAAGACTGATCCCACTCTTGAGAGATACCCAGGACCTGCTGTATGTGTGTGCATGTTTTGAGTGAAATATTCCAACTGAGCCATTACTTTGATTTGCTTTGTAGGTCAGCCAGGCAGACCTTGTGGTCAGAGCTATGTCACTTCTGTATATGCTGCTTTATTTCAGTCTCAGAAGCAGACTTCCATGGGCCTCACCTCAGCTGCCTTTTGAACCAGAGTCTCAGGGAAAGCATGGGCAGTAAGTTGGCCAAAAGAACAGAGTGCCACAATAGATGAGGCTTTGGCAGCTCTCTAAAAACTATCATCCTTGGAGAAGCAGGTGAACCAGGAGACCTTCCGTTTGTTCTTTGGTTTGAAGTGTTCTAAAATGCTACCCTGTCAGACATTCAAGTACTCTCCAAGTCCCAAGGGAGATGGTTCTAGATCTTTTCCTACCTGGGATCAGCTATAACAAATCTTGTCTCATGGTCAGTAAGAATACTGAGGTGTGGCCATTGCCTTGCTAAGCTATGGTCTGGTCATGTGTTCTTTGAGCTATGGCTGCCATGTTTCCTGGCTACCCTCTCCCTTACCTTGGGGAAGTGAATCTCTTTCTAATTTGCTTCCTGAATAAACTATATTTTCCAATCTAAAGAAAAAAGAATACTAAGGTGTATTGGGGAACTAAATGTAGTTCCTACTGCAGAGGGGATATGAGGGAGTCCTTGGAGGGTTGGTTTGTGGTCCACACACTGACAGAGGCTTCTGTTCCTAGTTTCCTAAGTCTTTCGTTGTGTGCCTGGTGCCACTGCTCATTTGTCTTGCAGAAGTTCACCTTTGTGCATGTGATGCCCCTGCTTCCTGGATAAAGTCAGGATAAAATCCTTTAACCTAGGATTTAAGACTTTGGTCAGCTTCTCCATGGGTATCTTCTGATTCTGAAACTTCCCTTGGTGTTTCTCCCTCTCTGGCCTTGTTATCTGGATTCTCCTCTTTCTTCTAAGCCCAGCTCAGTCCCACTCTCCCTAGCCTCATTGTCATTCTCTTTTGACCCTCTGCCCTCTCTCTGTCCCCCTCTCTGTACATTGCCAGTGTTGGCTTTAGGTTTTTGTTTTTTCATATACATCTCCTGTCTTCTTACTAACTCTTACATCCCTTTGAAGGTGGAAATCCTGTCTCCTGCCTTTCTATATCTCTAGTACAGTATTCTTAATCTTTTTTGCATCACAGACCCCTTCTTAGAATAATGTTCTTAAATTTATAAAATAAAATGCATGAAATTGCAAGGAAAACCAATTCTATTGAAATGTAGAAATGTAAAATGTAAAAATTGTGATAGAATGGTATTTACTTCTTTATTAACATGTTAATAAGATCTAGAGGTAGGTCTTATAACTATGGTAATTTCAAATCAGTGATGCATGTGAACGCTATTTCAAGATGTTACAGACCAGGCATGATAGCTCATGCCTATAATCCCTATACTTTGGGAGGTTAAGGCAGGAGGATTGCTTGAACCCAGGAGTTCAAGACTAGCCTGGGCAACATAGTGAGACCTTGTCTCTACAAAAAATCAATAAATTAGCTGGGCATGTTCGTGCATGCTTGTAGTCCTAGCTACTTGGGAGGCTGAGGCAGAAGGATCACCTGAGCCCAGGAGGTTGAGGCTGTGATGAGTCCCGATTGTGCCACTGCACTCTAGCCTGGCTGACAGAGTGAAACTCCAACTCAAGAAAAAAAAATTGAAATGTGAAATGTGTTACAATTGAAATGTGAAATGGGCTGGAGTCAGTGGCTCGTCCTGTAATCCCATCACTTTGGGAGGCCGAGGCGAGTGGATTGCCTGAGTCTGCAGGTTTGAGACCAGCCTGGGCAACTTGGCGAGACCTCGTCTCTATAGTAAATCAAAAAATTAACTGGGTGTGGTAGTGCATGCCTGTAGTTCCAACTATCTGGAAGGCTGGGGCGGAAGGATCGTTGGAGCCCAGCAGTTTGACACTGGGGTGGCCATGAGCGTGCCACTGCACTCCAGCCTGGGTGACAGAGTGAGACTCCAACTCAAAAAAAAAAGAAATGTGAAATGTAAATGAATCCTGTTGGTGACAGTACGGGTACTGCTGATACTACTATGACTATTTATTTGCATTTGTAATTGAAGGAAACACTACATTTCACTAATACGCTGGTGGAAATAATGGTGCGATTTTTTTTTTTTTCCTGTTCATGTTCACAGACCCCTATGAATCTACCCCTGAAATAAATTGTGGCCCTCAGGTTAAACACTTTTGCTGCAGCGCCTTCACATAGCAGGCAGAGAAAACGTTGACTAGCTGATAGGTCACTGCTCTGAAATTTGCTGCCTTGGTTTTGCTCCACCAGCCTGCCATTCTCTTTTGGCCTTGTCCTGCCTTCATGCCTCTGGATAGTGCCTCAACTCCCAACTTGGCTCCTTGTTTCTGTCTAAGCTGGTAGAGTGTTGGAGTATAGGGATTGTTTTTTAGTACTCTGTGTGCTTTGGCTTGAGGAAGGTGACTGTTATTTTGCAAAAACTGGTGGGAGTGAGCCCAGTTTTCTATAGGGGAAGGGGCCAGACTCTTTCCTTCTTTTTTGGAAGCTAAGGACCAGAGCTGACGTGGAGGATGTCTTTCTACCATGAAAGCATATCTGGTACCAAGAGTCCAAGCCCCTTAAAATGCTTTGCTTCCTGTGTCTGCAGGAAAGAAAAAGACCTGGGCTTAGAGTCTGCAGCTAGGAATGGACAGGATGTACATCTCTGGCTCTTGGAGCTGGCTCACCAGCCTCTTTTTTTCCCCCCTCTCTCATGCAGGGCAAGTTGGCCTCCTTTTTCCTGTCTAGAGTGGATGCCGTGAGCCCTCAGCTCCAGCAGGTAAAGGGAAGGGAGGGAGATAGAGATCCTGGGAATCTGAGCCTGAAACATCTCTTATCGCTCCGTCTTAGCTTTTCTGTGTCATTCCTTTGGACCATGTTCCCACTTCCTCCCTGTTAACATTTGCTATTCTTAGCTTCTGCCTTTGTCTGCCCATCTGAGTTCCTTGCTGTCATTGTCCCTTCTCGTGTTTGTCTCAGAGCTCTCTTTGATCTCCATCTCTTTTGGGGATTAGTGGAATTGGGGATTCTGTGACTGGGCTAGATCTCATCTGACCAGGCTTCTGTGTTTTCTTTTGCAGTTGGCCTGTGAATGTTATTCCAGACTGCCCTCTTTAGGGGCTGGCTTTTCCCAGGGCTTGAAGCACACCGAGAGCTGGGAGCAGGAGGTGCATAGCCTACTGGATTCACTGCATAGCCTGCTGGGGGCCCTGTACGAGGGAGCAGAGACCGGTAGGGACCATCGCTGGTAGAGTCGGACAGTGGTTGAGGGGCTTGGCAGGAGGGAACAGGATGGGGGTCCAGAGAGGTGGGGCAGTTAGTTTCTAAACAAAATGAACTGTTAGATTAGATAGGTCATCCACCACAAATGAAAAGGGGAGATGGAAGAAAGACCATGTGTATAAGATGTTTGCGTTTCTGTCTAGCTCCCGTGCAGAGTGAAGGCCCTGGAGTGGAGACACTGCTTTCCCCCTCAGAAGATGGTGAAGCCCATATACTTCTCCGGCTTCGGCAGAGGTTTTCGGGACTGGCTCGCTGCCTGGGGCTCATGCTCAGGTGTGTAGATGTTGGAGGGAACGGGGCATGGGGCAGGAGGGGTTGAGATGGGCATTTCATCTTTGTTGTGAGATTGAGGTGGGTGTGGAGTCACGATGGGGAGCCTTCTCTGACGATCTCCCTGCTCTGATTCTCTTTAGCTCTGAGTTTGGGGCTCCTGTGTCTGTCCCTGTGCAGGAAATCCTGGATGTCATCTGCCGAACCCTAAGTGTCAGTAGCAAGAATATTGTAAGTGGGATTTGTCCTCTATTCATAGCCCTTTCTCAGGAGCCTGGGCAACCAGGAAAGCACTGAAGTAGGATCTGAAGCTCCCCAAACAGTGTCACCCCAGCACTGTCCCATCTCATTTCCTTTTGTCCTGTGTGTCCCTGACACATGTACTCACTGTCAAAAGTGGATTTGAGCTGGGCTCGGTGGCTCACCCTGTAATCCCGCGCCTTTGGGAGGCTGAGGTGAGGGGATTGCCTGAGCCCGCGGGTTCGAGATCCGCCTGGGCAGCGAGACCTCATCTCTA